CCTTTTTGTTTCCCAGTTAGTTAACACCTTCCAGCAGAGACCCAGTAACTGGCTGTGTAAGCACTTCTAGTCAGTTCTAGGGCAAAGTCAAACAAGTTGGTTCAAACCACTGCCAGATGGCTCAGCTAACTTGTTTGATTTTGTCCTGGAAGAGTCAAAAGTGCTCACAGGTCAGGAAGAGTTGAGAGGGAGCTCCAAACACCTGGAGTAATGGCCCTGACAATCTGAACATGAGCCCCATTCAAGGCAAAACTAAGGTAGGTTAGGTTAGGCACCACTGACTTTGTCTTCACAAAATCAATGACCAGGGAGACCGCCAAAAAGGGAGGAGCCCTATAGGAGCCTGCTCTGTCACATCTCCGTGGTAAGCAAGCCTTTGGACAAGCAGCCTTGGGATTTCCCTGGCAGTTGTCGTACCTCCTGGAAGGACATCAGCCCGCTGTGCAAGACCACCACCCTGGCACACCTCCTCAATGACATTCTATGTCAAGTGGTGCTTTGTAGATACACGCAGAAAGATTCTCCTTTTCTTAAAGACTTAAAGCCATTTCAGCAAGACTTACTACTACTGAAATGTTTATACTTTTTACAGTATATATACAGTAATTTTAAATTTTGAGCTTAGAAGCCCAATTTTGAGAAACAAGCACTTCAGGCCATCAGCACAGTGGGCAAAGTGACAATTTTGGCTTTAAAATACCGAGTTACAGGACCAGAGTGCCATCTACCGGGCTTCTCCGAGGATAACAGGCGTTCACAGAAATTCGGGTCACGATTAATGGTCTGATCGGGAGCTGTTTCACTGAGCAAAGGGGAAGCGGTGTATGTGAACGAATTTCCTTTAGAAACTCAGAGCCTTCGGTCCTGCCCAAAGTGTCATGCTCATAAGTAAGATAATAAGAGCCAAATGATAATTGTCATAATTTACACGTGTAAATTTTTGAGGGGAAAACAACATCCAACACCACCTCAAAGGGGTGGTTAACCACAACGTTCCTATGAACTAGAAAGAAATTTCAAGGTGGGCCTTAGAATCTATCAGGGATAAATATTCATCTTGAGTGCACCAGAAAAGAGTGAGCAATGGCATTTAGAGAAACAGCATGGAATAAAATTCAGGATAGTTTCAATTGATACGGGAATATCACAGGAAAATGATATTCAACTGAAAGAACGACCTCAAAAGAAAGATGCTGCACACAGATGAAGAATAGGGAGGGACAGCATAAGCTGCAGTATAGAGGGAAAATGACCTGGTAAGGCTATTCCTTCTGAAAAGGAAGTGAAACACATCACGGTTAACCTCAAACCAAAAACCCAAGTCAACAGCACAATAGTTTAAGTGTTACTTGTGAGAAATTGAGGGGATTATTCCAACCCAGTTAGAAGTTGCAATGCATTAAGCTTCAATATTATGTCCATCTTAAGCAGTAAGAATGAGGTTTAAAAAACATGCTCTTTGAAGGGGGGAGGGGGGAGAATAGGGTTTGCATAATCCACAAAAAAATAAGACTAAAAATATTCAAATCTGGTAAACTAAAGTATGTTATACTGAAAATGAGACCAAAAAGCAGCATAAGTGTTTGTTCCAAAACTGATCATTGTTCCAATTCCCTTTTATCACTTCATTTCCAACTCCAGTAAACCAACAGTACAAGTGCTCAACAGGAAGTATGTTCTTCGAGCAACTCTGGCTATACAAACCTAATTATTCAACAACCTACAAATAACTTCACAAGTAGATTTACTTACACTCATCTGCTTATCAGCCACCATGAAATATCTTTGAAGGAGTATCTTTGAAGGAATGATGTAATTTGAACATAAAACAGCCCATTTTATACAGCTGGAAATTTAGAAATACAGAGTTCTGACACAGATAGCTAAGTGTCCAGCAGCTCATGCTTGGTAAATAATTCACATTAGAGACAACAAACATTCTGGTTACCAGAGCCTAAGGATGAAAGCCTGCTGCCTTAAGTGAGTGGATTTTTTTATATATTGCCAAATTACTTTTCTTAGTAGGGTCTGTGGAGAGTTATTAACACAAGGTGAACCTCTACTGCGTACAAAGCTACATCCTTTTTAGAGGAGGGCAGAACAGTTACATAGCCTGAATGATCTCCTCAAGTTTCTAAATTACTGGATTTAAGCTCACAGATCTTGCAGAGGACAATGGAAGAGTGGAACCAGTAAGCTTAACTTACTTAGAAGCCATGGTTGTAAGCCTAAAGACCACTTATTTGCTAACTCCAGCTTTTGATCACAAACCTGCCCCCTCTTTAAAGAGGCAAGAAGTCTTCCCAAAGACTTCAGAAAACAGCAAGAGACAATCAAATGCTCTGTGACAACCCAGACTCCCCACTGCACACCACAAGATGTTTTTTGTTAGAGGTGGTCGCTGGATTCCAGCTCACAGCACTGTGCTCCCAGTACCCACACCAACCATCACAGGGCAGTGAGGGAGAACTGCACAGTGTTTGAGTTGTCCTGGAGATCAGTGCTCCACGAGGGCAGAGCAAAGTTCTGAGAGGGTAGTGCAAAGGTCAGTAGCAAACACTCCCCACAGTCTGGTTGCTCAGTCCTCACTTTGTCCTTTAACAAGAAACAAAGGTAAAATTAATTATTATTTTTTATTTATAAAGTTTGCAGTGATACAGAATAGGTGACAATCAAGAGGAACGTGGCAAACTTTCCTCTGAAGTTGATTAGCAATTAACATTCACTTTACAATCCCATTACTCCCCTAATTGCCTTTTGCTAAACCAATCGTCTGCTCTTTAAAGATACACTACAACCTGCTTTATCCTTTCAGCTCTTTCCCACTTACTGTTTATGGTGACCCCATTAAACTGGAAGTTGAACTACACTTTTAACAACTGTTTTCAGCAGCAGCCATGGGACATTTTTTGGATTTTTTTTTTTTAAATAGAATTTTTTTTAGATGAGTACAAAAACAAAGAGCGGGCAGGGTGTTACTGTCACAATCCCTGCAATTCTTTCACCTCACATACATTAAAGACTACGTTCATTTGAAGATTCCATCATAACAGCCCTCCTTAACTAACACGTTGAACTCACTTATTATTTCTTCCCAAATATATAAGCAAATGGTCACTGCCCCCCTCATTTTTAAAGGCATAAGGAATAAATGAATTGGTCCCAACAACTTCAATAATTTCTGTACGTTTCAGGACATTGAGAAAAGGAGGACAAAAATAGCAGCAAAAGAACACATGCAAGCTTCATTGTATCCTCTCTGTGCAGTTGCTACGCAGCAATTGCCCTCCTACAAAGAACTTTGGCTTTTTTGCTTACTAACATTTCATCATTCAATTAGATACTGCATGTCCAGATCCAAAACAATTTAAAAGAAGGCTTTGCTCTGAAAGTTCTCTCAGATAGCTACCAATTCAAATGTACATGCCTTCTGACTTGCTTCTTCTGGAACATTATTAACCATAGGCAGAACACCCAATCCCAGTAAGCAGCCGATACTTCCACAAGCAGTGTTGAGAAGAATCCCCTCCTCGTGCAGAGAATGCAGTGAGGCCTGCAGGCACCCAGCCTAACTAAATAAATAAGCAGCTTCTGGCAGCTAATGAGGGCAACCTTTGTCATACTGCCTTTTCCAAAAGGGCTCTGGCCCAGTGCTGCTCTACACCCTTGTGATTTGCTATGGATATAGAAATATCTAAAGCTCACATTGTGAGCTGCCCCCTGCTTACTCCATCAACAAATCAAAACACTTTTTAAAAAAAAAGAAGAAAAAGATATTTTATCTTATATTTCTTATGTGCACATGGGGGGGAACACAATAGTAAACCAATATTCATTGAATGAAGAACTATACAAGGACCCCAGTTGAAGTTACCCACACACCACACACTCAGCCTCAGTTTCCAGGGAGAGGCAGCACAGCTGCTGGGCAGCAGCCACCCCCAGCCCCCCCCAACACAGCTGTGGCCAACCCTGCTCATCACCCACACCTGAATCAAATCACAAATATACGCCTCATGCTTTTCATCAAAGAGGAACATTTATAGAACAAGATGTACAGTGCACACCTGCATGCTGGTATAAACGAATATTTAATAGTTCAACTAGCAGAAACCCAAGTACTGAACAGAAAACTTAAAGGAGAAAAGAGAAAAAGACACCTCCAACTACTGCACAGTAGAGCTAGAAAAGATAAATAGAGTTAATTGAATCCTATTATTTATTGCCTTCAGCCCACAGCCAGAGCGCAGCTTCCCATTAGCTTAAGAGCACTGCCTGGGACTTCCATCCTCTGCACAGCAACACAAAGACTGTACACACAGTTCAGAGCAAACCAACGTTTCCACCACAGCAAAAGAACCCGAGTACAACATTATCCTTTTAAGTGTCGCTCGTTAAACATATCTTGTGGTTGATCTGTAAGAGTTCAATGATTTGAAACTTCACAGAACTCAGTAACACCATTAGTAATGCAGTTGATAACATAATTCATTCCTGTTTTTCTTGGATTTTGTACTTCAACAAAATTCAATTTTATTTTTACCTCAAACAAAACAACGGACCATCCCAGGTGTGTTTGCACCGAGTTAATCGTAACGTCTGGGTGAGCCCGTCAGAGGTGCTACGAATTACTTCAGCTGCCACCAATGGAAAGCAGGGCTCAGCAACAACTTAAACCACGTAGGAGAAACAGCTAAGACATCAGAGAGCATCTACACTTTTGTTTGCGGTTTGCACGTTTTCCTGCCTTTAAAATGACAACAGCAGCAGCTCACACGCAGTTCAGGAAGCAAATCCTCCTATAAAGTGCTTCCGTACCAACGGTGTGAAGTCATTCAATAGAAGCACCTGTTAGGAGTAGTTAGCCAGGCCATTCGCCTACAAACAACAATTCTATGAAGCAATACATCAATTTCGGAAACGCATCTCAACCCCCGAAAATCAGCGGGTCTTATTAAACAGCAGGAGCTTGAGAAGCTTTATAAAGTAAAATCACTTACGGTTCTCCACTCCGTAAAGACAGCCTTCGGGTTTCCGCAAGGCGGCCGCCAGTTTTTCAGCCATTCCATCCGTTCTAAAGCCAAACAAAATCAGAGAGATGTCGCCACGGAAACTCCCACCTCCTTCATCCCCTCACCGCAGCCGCGCACCTTCCGACAACGCGCCACGCGCCGCAACGCAGCTCCGGGCCTCGCCGCGCGCTTCTCACCTGCGCGCCTCCCGAACGCGTCCCCAGGCGGGGATTTCCCTCCCCGCCGAGCTGGGCTTTCCACATCGCTGCGGAGCTGCACGTGGAACGCCCGTTCTGACCCAGCACCGGGGACCCCTGGGCAAACCGTTGTGAGCGGAAGAGCCCGGGCTGCCAAGCTGGGATTTCACTTTCTGATTTCACCTGAGAGCGCAGGGAACCTCCCCAGCTAGCACTCTGCGAAAGCGGCTCGTTCACGGAGCCAAGGACGTGTAAATTCCCGTACGGCGCCGTTTCCCCGACACTCTCCGCAGTTCCCACGTTCCTGGGAACGAAGCGTCCCAGTGATTACCTGCGCGCCCCGCGCGTGGAAAACAAACTCTGTTTGCTCGCGCTTGCTTTGCGGCGGCCGGTGCGCGCTGCGTGGGATCACAGGTGGAGACATCCGCTGCGTTCCGCGCCGCTAACGCGGTGCTACCACGCGGCGCTCGCCCGCACATAAGCCGGAGAGCAGTCGCCAGCTCCTCGCAGCAGGTGCGCACGTCCGCCGCGCGGCCCCGAGAGGCGCCCGGCGCAGCCTCATCCTCATCCCGGCGCGCTCCCGCCACCCCCTCGAACCCCGCTCGCGGACCCACCCGGAGCCCCGCTGGGGGCGGCGCATGCGCGCGGCTCGGGGCAGAGCGGCGCGGGCACGATGGCCGGCGGGGAGCAGCGCGGCGCGCCCGGCGGCCCCGAGCGGGTGGCGCTGAAGAAGGAGATCGGGCTGCTCAGCGCCTGTGCCATCATCATCGGTAAGGGTCGCCGCGGGCGGCGGGGCCGATCCGCGCCCTCCCGACGGAGCCGCCGGTTCCGTGCCGGGTCACAGCGGGCGGGCGGCGGACGGGCGGGCTGCGAGCAGACGGGAGCTGGTTCCCGTCCGCGGCGAAGCCGGCGGAACGCCTTTCCGTCCCACCAAAGGCGTCGGATCGGGGTAAAGTATTGGCGTATTGGCGTTGTCGGTAAAGCCTAGCGGTGTCAAGCGCCTGAAGCGTTGTAGCCAAAAACTTTCGCTAAAGGAAGCTCGGACAGCCGCCCCGGGAGCGGGATTGGCTGCGTGTAGGTGCGAAGTGGCACCGCGTGTCAGCGGCCCGTCCGTAACAGCGAAGCACGGCGCCGGCGGACGGCGCGGCTCTGCGGGCGGCACTCAGCGGAACGCGGCCGGAGGGCGCTGCGCCTCGCACCGGCACGGCCCGCAGCCTGCGCACGGCGGGACAAGAGGAGCCCGACCGAAGGCTTTCAGCGCAAGACCGAAGCACCCGTTGCCCTGTGCTGGCGTTAGGCGGCTCTCTGCCCGGTACAGGGTAACGTGGGGGGAAGACTTCCTTCCAAATGATGGAAGGCGTGCGGGCGGTGTCACGGCTCTGACCCAATGGCAGTGTGGGGTGTCGTGTCAGCCTTCTGGGGCAGAGAGCCTTCTTCCCTTCAGGGTTTCAGCATAAAACTCAAAGGTGTCCTGTGGCAAAGTCACTGTTATGTGCTATCCGTGTATGAAAGTGCTGCAGATACCCAAAAACAAGAGAGGGTATCTTTGTGTTATGAAATGAAATTGTCCGATGCTGGGATTTGTAAACTTTTTTTGTTACATTTTTGCTGGCTGTTCTGCAATTCAGTCACCTGCAGGGTGGGCAGAAAGCACGGTAATCTTGGCAATTAGTAGCCAACAGAGGAAACATGAGGGAGTATTTGGAAAAGACTGTGAAGATGAGACTATAAATCAGTGAGCTCACGATTGCCTTCCATGCACTATCTCTGCTAGTTCAAAATAAAACATTTTACGATCGGCATTAGGAGGAAATGATCAGATTGTTTTCTGAGTCCCCCCTGGCATAACGTAAGGAGGCAAAAGAGAAGGCTTTGAGGTGTGAATGCCATTATCCACTGTATTTGAGAGTGTTCCAATGACATTGGGGTCTCCCTGTGTGTCACAGCCCGTTATGACCCCATGAAATCTCACGGTTACACCCAGGGAAATAAAAGCTGCCTTCAGGTACAAGCACATCCCTTCATCCAGCACAACCGCTCCAGGACCATTGCTGTTAGAGCTCAGTCTGCCCTGTCCCAAACTGCTTTGTCTTAGAAACGGTTACATGCCATGAAAAAAAATCTCTCCTGCTATTAATAACCTGCTAATGTACTCATGTACATAATGTACTCAGTTACACTGCACATTAAAGCTTACCAATACTCAGATGAAGTGGTACAGCTTAAAAGGAAGTAACGCACTCTTTATTGGCTACTAAGTAGTAACTGACAGATACTATCTAACTGCTTGAAAACACCATTACTTTTTGTTTAGGAGATGAGCTACACAGAGAAATTCTTATCCAGGGCTTCAACATCAGTTTTGCCAATGCAGACGAAAAACTGGGTAAGAAGCTCCATGAGTTGGCTCTGTGTAGTTCCTGCCACATTCCTCTGTTCTTTAGAAAAGTACAAGAATTAGAAACAGCAGCCCGATTAATGTCTGATACCAGCCTGCTGCTTTTGGTCTGAATAACAAAATTACCACTCTTACGTTAGAAATGTACATGCAACCGTAGGTACAAATTGCAGCCATTTATATATATGTATGAACCTCTCTTAAAGCATTTGTTTATCAAGCTTGTAAAGCTGCATGCAAGTAGCTATAGGGTAGCACTCGGATTTTGGTAAAGTCCATTGTATGGATGTGAATGTATACAGCAGGCTGCATAAGAGCCATTAAAAGACCTGGAGATTAAGCTTCAATGAAATATGTCAGCTAAAACTAAATATGCCATAGGCAGAAATTATGTGCATCAGCTGACTAGGTTTCTAAAAATGTTTCTAGCACTCACTGCTCACACATAAGCTTCGTGTAAAAACCCCTTATAAACAGGTTCCCAATTTGAGTACATCCCATGTTATTAATACCAAAACTGTGATCAGATGGCCTGTGAGCACTGTGTTCAATTATTACTACTTTTGGAAATTGCCTCCTGGAATTTGTCTTCCAACATCACCCCAAAAATGGGATTTGCCTTGTTCCATAGGTGCTGTTAGTCTGCCACCTCATCGATGGTGTCAGCAGAATGTCCATGAGCTGGAAGCCCTCTTATATGGGAGATGCTTCCTTCTGTCAGGATTGTCACAAGGTGTATGCAGAAATATTATTCATGTGATGAAACTGCAGCAAGGAAACAAGCAAACACACTTCCCTGGCTGCCACAATGCATGCCTGACACTGTACTTGCTTACTAACAACCGTGTATGCATCTGCAGGAAGTTTCCACTTGCTTAAATACCTCTTCCATGGAGATGGCACCAAGTTCAGAGGTGTAATTGCAGAGGATAGGATTTTTCCTCCTTGCCCTTCACAGGAAACTACTTACCAGCCCTCCTGCATTCACTTCCTTGCACTGTTCTTGCTGATATGTCTCCTGTTGTTTTAACATGCCTTAAGGTCCCACAGCTAGGCCTTACAGACAGACATCACCAGGACTGGCAAGCTGCTAGCTTAACACCAGGGAAAGAAAATGCACTGGGAGAACTGAGAAGAACTGAGAGAGGTCTTTATACTCAACTTTTCACAAAATGTGAGAACTCAAAAAGCAATAAATAGGTAGTAATGCCTACATGGTCATGTTTCATGTGCCACTGGTGCTAAAGGAGACTGGCTGCTGGTCATTGAATCAACCAGCACCTGGTCAGATCCAAGTCCTTGTCAAATAGCGTATGGAACGACCGGGAGATCCTCCCAAAAGGGCTTTATTGGAACAGTACCCCAGTTCGAGGGCTGCAGCAGAAAGAAAGGTGTATGAAGGAAAGACTGTCACTCACATCGTGGTGTGATTTCTTCCTGCTTCTGCAATCCTACCTGGGATCGCAGAAAACAGCAGTGCTGCAGCACTGCTCTCTGATTCTCTGTGCAAGTATTGCACTTTTGGAGCTAGTTGAAGTTTCAGGACACGCTTCTTACCCGCTTGTGAGAGCAATGCAGATTACCTCAGTGGTTCTTACTCGTGAACAAAAAATTGTTTCTGGAAAGAAAGAGTCTTCCTTATCTCTGTTAGACATGTTGCTAACTAATATTTTAGCATTCAGTTCCACATGGCGCTTGCTGGCAGAGTGCACAGGGTTTAAACCTACATGACTAATACTTTTTCAGGACAATAGGACAGACCCAAACTGTAGAGAAGTGTAATTCAACATCTTGTCCTCTTATTAATGCAAATTGTGGTTAAATAAAGGTGGGAGTCGTGTCTTCCTTAAAAGCAAGAAACTACAAGGGTACTTTTGAGGCACTAGCAAACATTTTTTACCATGCAGTCTCAAGTCTGAGGCTCAGATTCATAACTAATGAAAATTAAATGTCCAGGAACTATGTGTGAAGAATAGCTGATAGGTGTCCACATTTTGGTATGATGCTCAGTACGAAGAAAGGTGCATACCTTTGAAAGATCAAATACTGCATTTTTAAAGAGAAATTTAGAAATGTTCATCCAAAATGCACTGTGCAAGTTACACTTACAGAACAATATACTTTAGGGATATTAGTGCACGCTCACATTTTCACAGTCTGTGCAAACATACAGTTGTCCATCAGAATCCTTTGGAGTAGGCATTCACCTAGTTTGGGGAGCTGAAAACATGCCACAGTTTTACTTGCAAGAAAAGCCATGGCAAGGTTCAAACAGCTTGGTAAAATTCCAGGGAGATCCTGCAGCTTTTCAAGGCTAGCGGCTTAGGCTTACCTCTGAGAGCAATTTTACCAGTGGGGGTAAAAAGGAGCTGCAACTAGAGATTCCTGGCAGCATAAAATGAAAATAAAAACAAATTTATATTCTTCTTAATTGGCTCATGCCAGAAATAGGCAGTGGGTCTATTTGTCCACAGATGTGCCTTTCTGCTGCAGTCTGTGCGCATCCAGAAGTCAGCGTGCAGAGCGAACATGTACAACACAAAGTGCAAAAGCTGCAATAAAGCAAAGTAAAAAATGTCAACATGAACAAATCCTTCCACATGGTGTTCAGAAGCAGTAGCAGGACACAGTGACTTTAAAAAAAAAAAAAACAAAAAAAACTGAAGTTTGTACTTCAGGAAATCATCAATGCTTAAACAAAACTTAGAACATTTGTAACATTCTGTTTCCTACTTACTATTTGGTGATGTTCATTGGTTTGGATTTAGGGGTTGGAGTTTGTTTTTTTCCCCTTGTGTTTTTCTGAAAAAGTGGAAAAATCTGATGAGGCTGAACATAGGCATTGTGATCAGAAAGCTGAAACAACGAGCTTTGTTATGGATGTCAGTAGTGCAGATACCCTGCAACACAAACTCTCCTTCTTCCTTGATAGACAAAAAAACAGAGGTAGCATCCTTTGGTAGTCTTACTCCTGATCTGGCAGTACAGTGCCTGCTTTCAGTGGTGCCATAAATCTCCACTCGCGTTCCCTTTTCCTGTGCCT